TCAGTCAAAGCTTTGTGGGGAATAGAAATTATACACCCACAGTTGTCAAGATGTTGTATAGATGTTGTAAAGATGTGGGGGCATAAAACCAGTAGCCCAGGGCGTAGGGAATGACATGTAACATAAGTCTCAGGCTGGCTATCAAATGCACCTTTTCCAAGGGAGCTACTTGTACACCACCATACCAGAGTTTATTGTTGTAAAAATTAGGTGTTTAGTGAATGTTTTTATTTATTAACCAGATACAAACTTCTTAACCCAGATCTCTGTAAAGTCTGATATCTCCTAAAATGGAGGGTAATCCTTTATTAGCAGAATCAGATGTCAGGTGAAGTATTGTTGGCTACTAAGGGTAGATCCAACATGGCTGGAGCTTTCAATAATGTGTGGCACTAGGTCCCATCGCTATTGCCAGTACCCATGGTGGAAACTCACGTTTCCTGCACTCCCTTATCATTAATAAATGACACATCTCACTGATAGGAGGCCCCGGGGCAGACCCAGGACACACTGGAGGGATTACGTATCTCATCTTGCCTGGGAACGCCTTGGGGTCCCCCAGGAGGAGCTTGAAAGTGTTGCTGGCGAGAGGGACGTCTGGGATGCTTTGCTGGGCCTGCTGCCAACACGACCCGATCCCGGATAAGCGGATGAAAATGGATGGAGGATGTAACTTATAAAGTTACAGCAGCAAATAGCGTATAACCTTATGAGTTTGCCAATGTTAGCTAGCTTTGCTAATGTTGTTCGCAAACAAATGACATTTTAGCTAACATTAATATAAGTTTGCTAAAGACATTAGCATAGCTAGCTTACGTTAGGATAAAACATAAAAGGTTAGCATGAGTTATTTGCTGCTTGATGTTTTATCAATATGTTGTATTGTTTACCTTGGTGTTATTGGTGGGCAGCGTGTGGCTTACCTAAACCAATGAATGCATGCTACAGTATCCTGATGATCGTCTCTGGCAGGCGTTCACAATTTGAGACTCCTTTCTCCAAGTCCGGGAAGTTTCAAAAGGGGGAGGTGGGCCTGAGCCTGGAGCTCTGCGGCTAGTCCCTTCTCTGAGCTTTTGAATCGATTTGATTGATTGATTGAACTGATAAGAAATCACTGACATGGGTCTTTTATGGACCTTCTATTCCATCAAGACATACTGCAAAGGGATTCCTTGCAAAAGATCAGTTATAAAGCACAATGCAACAATCTACTGAAAAGATGCTGCCACCAGTGATTTACAGTGATTGTAAAATGCGACAGGGAGCTTTGAAGAGGGAGATTATCTGTACGATTAGCTTTACAACAGCTTATACTGGGAATTCAATTCTATACATATATACTCGAAATGCTGACGACATCACCCCTCAGGGTAGCAATAAAACTGCAACACTGTGCCCCTACACAAGTTAATAGGCTTCCCCAGGGAGTGCAAGCTTGATCCTGAGTGATGTCTCTAAGCCCCCCCATTGAGCTTACATCACTCCATGTTTTATCTGGCTCCCTGCAAGTGAATACAGTTTTAATGGTCAGCCTGAGTGTTTCTGTCTCAACCAGTTCTGTGTCTTCTTTGTACCAACTGGAGTTTCTAGAGCTCGGTGAGTCGGCCGATCTGTAATTAGTGCCAACCATAAACAACCGGAATCCCACTGAGCACTGCCACGGGTGGCTGCCCTCACCACGACAATCTGGAGTTTCCCTTTTGTCCTCAGCTGTGTCTGATGTGGAGCCAGCTGCCTGCCCTGGGAGGTAGTGGGCCTATGCTGTGGAGAGAGAGGAAGAGAAACTTGGGGAGTTTGGTGGAGAAACATGGAGGGTAAAAATAAACACAAGTACTGTTGAAAGAAAAAGCAGGAAAAGGAGCATACCTTGTAAAGAGTGTGATAAAATAGGGTCTTGTTAAGTAACTTGTATCTAGGAGATGTCAGAGTCATTCCTGTCCTCCTGCACAATCATTTTTAAATATAGAGTCTGATGCCATCTAAATGTGATGCAAGCCCTCTGCTCTGGGATCAGTACACATGCTTTTTCTGACCTGGCTCCAAGATGCACAATCATGACATCATGGCAAATGTACTACAGAGTAACTCTCCATCCCAGTCATTTGTCAAGTCTTTTGGCTTGCATGCTTATTCTCTCACAAATATTATATCCTCTCAGTCACTTGTCAAAGCCTACCCTGGCTGCATGTTCCTCAAGATGCTTGAGTCATGACATAATCCTTTTACCATGGAGACAGAGTGACAGGCTTATGGGGGGTTAGGTTTGAGTAGACTTGTGTGAGGAGTCTTTTGTTGATGGGCTTTTTATAACCATATTTTTCAGATGTTGGTGTAGTTTTTGATTCATTCACCCTGCAGCTGTTTATCTCTTTACCAGAGTATTATTAAATGCATTTTAGAGCTATGTAGACATTAGATTTGAGTTAAGAACATCTCATCTTAGAGAAAAACTTTCAGGCAGTTGTAAAGGTCATGATGAAGTCTTGGTTGTTGCAGTCTTGGGAACAGGGTCTTGGCCTGAAGATATGCTCCATGGACCATTGCAAACAGTCGGCTGCCCGTCCTGTGGCCTCCCAGCCCACTTAGTCTGCACACACAACCAATCTAGGCTCAGAGGCTAAGAGGAGGAAACATCTGTGTATTTCGTGCAGATGCCAGAATATTTTGTGAATGTTAAGGAGGACTGTTGCTGTCTGTCAGTGTAGTATGACGTCTGAAAAGATACTTATTTGCCTAAAATATTGTGTTGTTTGCCACAAAAGAAAACAAAAGAGGATCAGAGGCTATTGCCTCTCAATTTAACAATGCCCAGCAGCATCTTCCTGGCAGATATCTCCTACATTTCTTTTTTAAAACCATATTTCTTTGCCATGGCCTGTCTTGCATGAACAGAATTGTAATAGCGAACGTGTCAGTGTCTATGAAACTTTCTCTTGCTCCACAAGCCAGCCAAGTACAATAATGTCATATGTGGTTTAAGGGCTAGTATCATGCAAAGTCTTTGATTCAGGTTCTGTTGAGCTTGGCATGTTTTTTCCCCATAGGGATGTCTATAGTCGTGGCTTGAGTTGAAGATCAAAAGCCCAGTGCATGAGCATTTGCCCAAGACTCATGTCTTAACCTCTCAGATCATGCACTCCAGACTGCAGTATCCTGGCAGCACCACTCAGACTCTTGATTTTGGTTTTGGAGTGATCATTTCCCAAACTTAATGCATGAAAGTTGTCCATCCTGGACTCATAGCAGCAGCTTGTAAATCAAGAACGCCTGTGGAGGCATTATAATACAGGCACAGCTCAGTGTGTGGGTGCAAACTGCAGCAATGCTGTTGGGATGCAATAAAACAGTTTGCAACACAGTAGCAACAGCTTGGTGTGCTCAGCTCGGTATCAGCCCTGATTACCATTGCTTAACTGCCATAAAGGGACATATGGAGCTGTTTAGCTATCTGCCGACACAGAAATACTGTAGTGCGCTGTCAATTAGAGCCAGGGGAAGGAAGTGGTCAGGGCTAAAACCAGGAGCAAAAGTAAGCTCAGGGGAGAACTGGCCTGACTCTGCACATAATTATTAGACTTTATATCTCTCTCTGTTTTAGTTGAGGTCTGTTTATTTTGAAATTCCTGTTTTCTCCTGTATTATCTTTGTCACTTTCTCTGGGTATGCTTTCCCTTTACTAACTGTCGTAACAAACCTCTCATATCAATACAAGATTAAACTAAAATATGATTGAGATACTGCTTTTTGGTGAAGCATACACACTCACAAAATCAATGTGTACTCACCCAAACATGGCCATGTGCACAACACTCCCACCTGCATGTGTTCACACAAACATTCTGTTCACCTTCCCCCCCATCCTCTGCCCACTGGCAGCCAATATTAGTGTTGGATTAGACATTAAAGCCCGAGTCATGTTTAGCAAGTGGACCCTCTTAAAACAAAAAATAAAAAGGCTTTCCGTGTAAACAGACTCCCCACCTCTAAACCCTCGGCCCTAATAGTTTAGAGCCACTAGCTGTGCTCAACACTAACAATCCCTTATATAGCTTGGTTTCTTGCCTGAGCAGACTACAGTATAAAGAGGGCGAAACCAGAATGCCATGCCTGCAGGGATGAATTTAGGGCAGGGGAGTGGTTCACATCGAATTTCTGTTGACTCATGGCTTTTAATGAGACACGGGCCGTGACGTGAAAGTGTTGTGGAGACTGAGTTTGAAATGGTTCAGTTGGCATTATTAATGCATGGTGGCTTTTTGGCTTGGTGATGTGAATGTTTATGAAGATTATGCCACATCAAGTAGAGCTGTGTTTTCAGGCTAATTCAGCTTGGTGCCTTGTAGGGAGGCACTGCTCATGACAAAATCCTGTTTTTAATTTTATGTCGTACTTATTTCTGTTTAATAGACGGATATCTCTTTTTATTTCCTAATTTTTGCCCCAGTCACAGTCAGATTTTGTGCTGATGCTGTTGCTATTAGTGACAAAGCAGGCTATCTGTGTATCATAATGAGTTCTACCAGCTTGATAGACCTCAGTATGAAGCAGACAGGTGCTAACAGGCCACAAAGCTGCACAGGTTAGTTTCCTTTTTAATTAAGATGACTGAGCAGCTCACTCTCCGGGGCCTAGTTAACCCTGCCATCTCTTACTCAAGTCCCTTTCTCTTGTGGAAGCAACCTCCAGGCATGGAATTTGCCAATCTTGTGCCAGTTCTCATACAAATATCACAACTCTCTCTGCTGCTCATTTATGTGCAGTATACACAATTTGTATTTTTATTTTTTTTTGCTATTAAGAAATAGACTTGCCCCTGAATATTTAGTGTGAATTATAACTTGCTCTCTGCTTCTCTTGATTCATCAGTTTGTCATTTCTAAACAAAAACTCATTATTTTTAATTAGCCCATATCTGCAACTTCTCAGGAGTAGGAGCTCACCAGCAGCACTTGATGGTGACATTAAGCTGACATCTGCCCTCTCGCCTCCCTTGTCTGCAGGAAAATTGGCTGCAGCCTGAAGATGCCCTGTGGCTTTGTCTGAATCAGTGACTTCTAGTGCTTTCAGACCTTTAAGACTCAAGACAGCAGGGAGCTGCATAGCCTGGCAGGTAAGCCGAGTCACAGTTTCTGTTTCCTGTTATTATCTGCAGTAGGGCTGCAAAAGTAATCATATTAAAACTGCTGCTTTGCTTCATATCGTCATACATTTTTTTGTGCGTTCATGACGGTAGTTGTGTCAGTTTGGGATTTGCAGGGAGATCTATTCTAATTTCTCTCTAAGCTATTGCACATCAAAAAAAGACAAGGCTGTTTTACACCATTTTATGTGCTAAGGGAGTTTTCTCCTTTCTTCTACTTAAAGAGCCTAGGCTGGGTTGGAAACTGTAGCTGTTGTGGGCCTGTGAAGGCCATTGAGACATGAGTAATATTGGGTTGTACAACTAAACTGCAGCGCAGCTATACAACCCTGTGCAACATCTCAGCAACAAGGCAAAAACTAGACTAAAAACTCCAACTTTGCTGGTCACAGACAGGCTGGTTTTGATGTCGCATTCATTCTGATAGCTTTGACTTTACATAATATTTGAAGAAGACTTAGTCTGTTCTACACAGGTTTAGTCATCCTTGCACAGAGAGACTGGATGGCCGTATTGTGTGTTTTAGTTTCTGCCCTCGCTGCCCAGGCTGATGTTTGTCAGGTCTTTGCCTTTGTGCCTGCACCTCAATAAATCTTCCTTTATGTAACCAGTATTCTCACGCCTGGGCACAGAGGAACAGCTACAAAGCAGTCATATTTATCAAACTGCTCAACAACCTTGTTTAAGTTTTTCCAGAACACATTTGTTTTTGAGTAAAGTCCCTCAATTTCAGCTCATACTAGCACGCATTGTGTTGTTGTAGTTCATGACCAGGGGAAGCGAGAGGTCAAAACATGTCTAGGCATGTCTTACCCCCCCCCACCCCCCCCCAACAGTCCCAGTGCTACCATGTTAAGATATTTCATTTGAGAGTAATACTGCATGTTGAAAGCATGTAATGTTGTATTTTTAGTTTTATTTAGCTCACTGTGTCGGAGTTTAATTCAACCTGAAATGATTCAGTTGATATGGAATGTCTCTTTTGAGTATACACTCAGCTTTCTCTCGCTGGGAAATGATTTCATCCTTCCTGACTTCATGACCAAGGTATTTCAAAATTGTAGCTTCACGTCACCTACAAAAGCTCAGCAGCTATTTCTGGCCATGTTCTGCTTTTTTTGTTCTGTTTTGGTAGTTATTACCAGCTCCACTTTGATGACTGAGACTGCTATGTTGTCTGATGTGTTGTCTCAGTAAGTCCCACTACATTTAATGCCAACACGGTTGTCACAGTTGTTCTGTTTCACGTTGACAATACATATTATCCATTCCTTTTTCCCCCTCCTCCCCCTTGACACATTTGATTTGTTTTGTGTGTTGTTGTGTCTTGCAAACATACCGTGCTCATGTTGCTACAAGACGACAGTTTCAGTGGTAGATGTCAGTCAGATTTTTCTGTCTTTCTGGTTCAGAGGATGTTGAGCATCTGCAGTATATATCTGTTTCTGTGTATCTGTATCCACGTGTCCATGTTACTTTCAGCGAGGTTCAGAAGTGCTGAACTCATTAGCAATTGGAATTAAGCTTTTTACATGATGCTTCCATTTTAATATGTTTGTCACAAAAAATTTAAACCAAATAATGAAACGAGACAATAGTCCACTGGTTCAATATGCAAACGTTTAGGGTATCAGGGCACTGTGATCCAACTATTGTGGCCTTGTCATGTGCACTGTGAGGTCTCCCATGATTCCCAGGCCTAATTATCGCCACAGCAAAATCCCACATTTGTCTTTAGATGGACTTTGAAATGGCTTGAGCATAATTGGTCTTGCCAGCTCTGTGGCTGAGTCCAGGCCAGCCGACACACACTGCTCTGTGTTCACAGGCTCCCACTGATAGACCCCTGCGCCATGCAGTCTCATGGAGGATCAGTGGGATCTTTAGGGGGAGATGATTTGAGTGGGTTGTTTTTGACATAATTATCTCCCAAATGCTGATTCACTGATAGGGAAGGTCATTAACTCGAATGCGCTCAAGAGGACGCAAGAATGCGGCATCCACATCTCGTCTTGATTTCCTCTGGGGAACTTAATTAGCGAGTTTGGGGATGTGGGTGTCTGGGGTAATAATTATCCATGAATATATGATAGCAGCGGTGGTGAAGTCAGAGCTGTTTTACAGTTGGTAAGGCCGATGTGTGTGCTGTAGTGCAACAGGATTTATTAACACTCTTTAGTAAAGATTTTATAGGAAGTAAGAATCCACCAACAAAGGATGTGCAAGGAGGAGTTGAAATGTCTCCGCCTGCTTCTGGTTATTGTCATCAGTGCTTGGAAAGTACCACAAGATCTCAACTCTTTTATCAGTCTGTGTCTAAATGTAACAGGAACATTTGTTGCCTTTTTTGGCGACAACCTAGTCAAATTCATTCCTTTCACCATATTTTCCTGCAATTTTGCAAAGATTTTAATATCTTTATTTTTGCACCAAAACTGCAACTGCAGAATTCCAAATCAGCAGAGCTAAAACACCATCCAACTGATTTTCATTCCATCCTGCTGCTCAGTCTCCTCATTCCTTCTTCTCCAGCAACTTTCTTTGTATGAACAGATGCAGCGAGAAACAGCTAAACAAACAACAAATGAACGCTCATGTCAAGGCCCATCAACTCCCCTCATTTTGAGCCGATCCCTTGATTACAATTGTTAAAACAAATGCAGTGTAAACACTTTGTTGTAACCTCAGCCCTTTTTTGTGAACAGTTTTCCTGATTTAGTGAGTATTTAAACACATGGTGTTTTTGAACAGAAGAAGTAACAGTACAAGAGAAACAGATTATTGCAAGTTATTAGTCTAGAATAGCTGTCGTCTTTTATTATGAAGCTTTTAGTCAAAAGATATTTTTGTTTGCTGTGGCACAAATGGTCATATCAAACAGGAACAGGAACATAACACGAACATAACCAGGGTTCTCTCCATATTTTCAGAGCTGCTGTAGGTTAGATTAGTTCCCACTGGGGTTGATAGAGCTTTCACTGTAAGTGCTAGATAATCTACACCTGAAATAGTTATTCAGGTGATTAAGGACTATTTTTTTTTTTTAGGTTTTTCCCATTAAAAATGTGGGTTTTTATTGCCATGTTTAATTGTTCAAATTGTAGAGCAGTACTAATTTATTTGCAGACCATCGATATCAAAAAGCAGTATTGCTATTGGTAAATATAAGAAAGTTCAGAAGAAGTTAAGTAAGATGAAGTATGATTTAGTACAAGAAGAACACAGGTGAGATAAAATGTAGTTCTTGTGGTAGCCTCTAGATGCTGGCTCCAAAAATGCCAACCTCCAAATTCTCTCATATTTCCACAACAAGCTTACGAGGTAAATTAATTTCTACATATGTATATTTTGTCACAAATTTAAAAAGAATAGCTTCATTAAAAGTTCAGTGTGTAGGATTTAGGGGGATATATGGAAAGAAATGAAATATAGGCCTAATATACTAAGCAGCGTTTCGCTCAACGCAGTGCAGGCGGAGCTCTCCATGAGTCCTTTTTTTGCTCAGCAGCACTTTGTGAGTCGCAGGGTGGATAGACTTGGTGGATAGTCAGTCTGCTCAGAGCTGATCAGATCAGATTAATGGAGAGGAGCAGCTGCTGCAGAGGTGAGTTAGACCCAGTTTAGACCCAGTACAACGAACAGTTGAGTTTCACTGTCAATGCGCTGCTCCATCTGTTCCAAGAGTACACTCTGCGCTCAGACAGTGTGGTGCCATAAATAATCGAACAGTATGTATATATTTCAGCGGCGCTCCTAATGAATGGTCCAGCTCCAAAAATAGAAAATTTATTTGTGGTGGCAGGTGTTTTGATTGTGGCAGGCTGCCATGAATGAGCGTGTGGGAAACCCTGCTAAGTATGTTTTCTTTAATGTAATAACGCCTGAAAATAAGAGTTGTTTAGAGTGTTTTAGGGAACGGGTCCTAGTCCATGGAGTCCGCCATGTTGCAGCACCATTTTTCGACAGTAGCCTTTTGTGGACAAATTTAACACTGGCTCCAGATAAGGCAATTTACGTGTTCTCATCATGACAAACTAAACAGTGTCATGAAAATGTTGATTTTTAGTTTGAAACTGCTTCATTCAGTGTTTTTACTGATTTAAATCACCATGTCTGTGTGTTTTGGAGAAGAAGAGACCTCTGTGGATACTCCGGCTCCCGGTGATATCCTCCTGAACCCTAAACACTGAAGGAATTCTAAGTGGGAGTTCACGCTTGGTTTCAGCTGGTTGCAATCTGCAATCTTCGCTACTAGATGCCACTAAATCCCACACACTGCACGTTTAAAAAGATATGAAGGCACCTCTACCCTGACACTGTCAGAGTTACATTCTCTGACAAAGAGAATAGCAAATGGTGAACCCAGAGTCTTCAAATTGCCACTTCTGAAGCATGTTTATGTCATCACACACATGCTTATTTCATCTGAACACAATACCTATAAAAAAATTGCAATATTGCTTGGCAAAATTTAGCTTGTTCTATCAATATTGGAAACAGAGTAAAACTAGCACAGTTGAAAGGTTTCTAAACCCTGTGAATGGCAGCCCAGTGTTGAGAAACATGAAGATGGTGTAGCAAAATGAAGAACTGAAATAGATTATAAATTCATTTTTTAATACTCATAACTACTTTCACAGGTCCAATATTATTTTTATAATGTTTAGCCAAAATATGTGACAATGCAATCACTCTTCTTTAATAATTAAGCATATAATAAAGTTACATCCTGTTATTAGTTTGAAAAATACTTAACTATTTAAGATTGCACTGTAAGATGCCTAATCTGTTTTGTTTTGTTAGCTGAATATCGTATCAGTATCAGCTGATATGAGAGGTAGAATATCAGCTTTGGCTTCAAATAAAAAAGGGAAAAATAATTTAGTTCACCCCTAGTTTTATCAGACTTTTTTATTTTCTGTTTAGATGCCTGTGGCTTTGCTACATAAGCCAAATGTGGCATTTAAGTC